TGAAACACCCAGGCCTCAAGCATGGCCAAACCCCTTCCAAGCTGGGTATCCACACCGTGTGACATGTGATGTCCTTGAGGGCGCACCATTCCACCTCAGGGGCAAATGAGCCAAACCCATTCCAACAATTCCAGGAAGTGAGCCAGAAATCAACAATTTAGAGTGTCAGTCGAAATTGAACTAACATTGATATCAAACTGACATGTCCCTACTCAAATACCATAGGACACATGATCACACTCCAAGTCTCATGGCCCTTGGCATCACTTCACTGTCTGGGCTCCCCTGCTCAAACACATGATCTTTGCATGGCACATGGCACAGATTTGTTTACCTGTCCTGCCCCCCCTGCCTGAATTGAACAATTTGACATGTCACGCAAGACATGTGAAACATTGCGCATGACAGTCGAAACATGGCAGGCAGACCATCACATGTGGCGCATGACATATGAGAATATGACAGTCAAAAACAAAACAGACCATCACATGTGGCACATGACATATGAGAATATGACAGTCGAAACATGGCAGGCAGACCATCACATGTGGCACATGACATATGAGAATCAAAACATAGCAGGCTGATCCAATACATGGAAAAACACATGTTGCCAGGGTATAAAGTAAACACAAAAACGGACCAGGCAGGACTCGAACCTCCATCTTTGCACCTCCCCCTGCCAGCCATGCACTTGAATTTCTTTTCCCTGGCAGTAAGGAAGACAACGCCTTACCCATTAGGCAACTGGCCCCATGCACTTTCTCCTCATTTCTGTGCTCAGGTGAGTGGATTTTGGTGAGCTTCAATGGGGAGAACCATGTCTGAAAGGGTCGTGTTTCTGATACAGTGCACTGGATGTGTCTGACAACGATTGAGTTCATGCATGCCTGCTGGGTTGGCAAAGGCCAACTCTCAAAAAACAATTCCTTGTTCAACGAGGGGTTGGGGGGGGGCATGTGAGATATCATGAATCATACATGTATATTTGATATTGGCAATGTATGGAATGTGTTGTACCATGCAATGCATGTGTTGCATCATGTGTAGTATCATGTATGACATGTGTTGCATCATGTATGTGTTGTGTCATGTACGACCTGTGTTGCATCATGTATGCGTTGTGTCATGTACGGCCTGTGTTGCATCATGTATGTGTTGTGTCATGTATGACCTGTGTTGCATCATATATGACATGTGTTGCATCATGTATGACATGTATTGTGTCATGTTCTACCTGTCTTGCATCATGTACGACATGTGTTGTTCATGTGTAACAGGTATTGTGTCATGCTTGACATGTTGCATCATGTATGACATGTATTGTGTCATGTTTTACATGTGTTGCATCATGTACGACGTGTGTTGTTCATGTGTGACATGTATTGTGTCATGCTTGGCAATGCGTTAATGAAATATCCAATTGCATTTGAAATATCCATTTAGGTCGGCACTGGCTTCCATGCGGGAACCCAAAAACCCTTCAGGAACCAAAAAACCAAAGTGGGCACCGCAAAACTTTTAGTGGGAACTGCAAAGCCGTGCCGCTGGGAACCGCAAACAACCTGGGAACCGAAAACGCTTTGCCGGCGGGAGCCGAAAACACCGCCCGGAACCCAAAACACTGGTGGGAACCGAAAACCAGATTCCGGGAAAAAAAGACGCTGAACCGAAAGTCGGATTCCAGGAGCCGAAAATACGGAGCCAAATAGTCCGATTGACCTCTGTGATGACGCCTTTCAAGCCTCCTCCCCACACTGCGGCTGAGCCCACATCGGTGGACCATTCCCTCCTCCTGCAAAAGTGGGAGAGGTAGCACGGCGCACTGAAGTTGCTTTGCCGCCCCCTCCTGCCAGGACGTCGGGGCGCCCCCTCACTTCTTCACCCCCCTCTCATCTGGCTTGCGGGGGGCAAATCCGTCTTGTCTTTTGTTCTTGCCTGATCCCTTGGCCTCTCGCATGTTGCGCTTCTCCTTCAAGACCTGGCTCTCCTCGCACATTCTCTTGGCCACATGCTCCGTCAAACTGGGAATGACAATGCCTCCTCCTGGTCGGTATCGAACACCCATGAAATAATCCGAGGCCTCGTAGCTCGGCTGAGCAGGGTTGCCCACGTGGGCCTCGCGCAGCAATTGTTTCTTTCGTACGACCATCTCGAAGGCAAGGGAATTGTATATGTTCAGCCTGTCGAATTTGATCGCCGCGTCCAGCACCTTGCTCAACACTTCGTCTTCAAAAACAGCTCTGTCCCCTTCAGGGATACGGGCGCTCTGCACCCATGAAAGGTGCTGCCCGTAACAACTCTCAGAGATCTCAGCCAACGAAGGTATTCCAAGCACGTTCTTGGCGACAAAGGAAACTCCTCCATGTCAACCTGCCTCATCTCCTGTATGGATTCACGGAAGGTCCGACATTTTTCCCCGTTTGGGCCGTATTTGATCGAGAGCGTCCTCACATCATCGCTCACCACCGGGTCGTCTCCCAGCTTGGCCTCCATGGATCTTGCAGCTCTGACAACTTGCTCACAGCGTTCTCCAACGTCTGAACGCTTGCACTTTTGCACCCTGACGGTGAAGTCCTTCCCATCTTTGTCCAACACATGTGCAAGAGCGTTGTTCCCATCCTGTGGACTACCTGCTGGCAATGTGAGCTCTTCCCCAACTTTGTGCCCATCAAAGATGCTCAACCAAAATCCATACTTCAACATCTTCGCCATCATCTGCCACTCCAGCCGCTGGTCCAGCGCCCACCGACGGCTGGTGCTGCTCCTGCAGCACCAGCTCCTCCTCGCGCTGGAGGTGCTGGCCCCAAGCCTCTCCTCAGCTTCTCCGCCTCGGCTGCTCGCTGTCCCTGCGGCATCCTGTTGTGCAGACATCGGCTGAAATGCATACACTGATCCTCTAGGCACTACTCTGGGAATTGTTCCTGTTGAACTATGGAAGAACTGTGAACAGTCACCATTTCCGGCATTGAGCTCCTCCGGGTACAAGTCCATGTTTGGTATGGCGATGAGCCACTCTTCATTCTCAGCGTGGGCTATGGCCAGGCGTGTATGAAAAACTGCAGGAAATCCATTGTATTCGACAAAACAAAGGTCCCCAACCCCAATGCTCATTGGTCAAGACTCTGAAGTCCGCGTGGAGCTCCATACCAACCTTTGCCTGAGTTGCCTTTGACCGACAAAGTGACCTCGTGCTCACCTCTATCGTTCTGTCTCACCGTAATCCTCAACACTAACACCAGATTCAAAGCGAGCAGGATGAGTATGGTCGTCACCCCACCAATCCAAAACCACTATTGGTCCTGACGGTTCTCCGGTAAACTGCAACCGCACAGACTGGCAATGACGGGGAGGGGGTCCTTCGGCGCCTCACGGTTCAAGAACCAACCCAACAGGACTCCCCCACCTGCCAGTGCCAGTGTATGCGCTTCCATGAACGCCCTACACTGCAACTGAGAGGGACTTGAGAACAAGACCACGGCAAACTAAACATTCAAGTCGGCTCGTCAAAAATTTGCTTAGCAGAAAGGAATACTGTATAGTTTCCGAAATTCCAACGTTATAAATCGTTATAAAAGGTTTCCCAAACATAGGCAGTTGCACAAGCCTGCAGGAAAAGCATCACTTAGAAAGAATGGTTTTGGCAGTTTGTCCGCAACAGGCTGCCAATAAAGTCAAGGGTTTTTCAGGCTGCGGATTAACCCAGACCACCTCTCCATGGACACATGATGTGAAAAAGGTCAAACAATGCGCCCAAAGCAGCACTGATAAGAAGCCGTTCTCCCAAGCACTGGGTGGTCTTGCAGACTGACTTTGTGTATGGACACATGTGTGATGTGTGCCAATTGTGTTTGTGCGTAATGGTCCGGCATACAGCATTCCTTTTGATCGGAGTCTTCGAGGACAGAGAGTTAGCCGAGACAAGAGAGGCCAGAGGGAGGGTGGGGGCCGGTCAAACCAAAGACGGGGAAACTGACGGAATGTTGTGGAGAGCATGTATTCTTGCCTCTCCCATGAACATCAAACAAACGCTCCACGATTCTTGCTTGTGGATCCCCGCTTGCTCACATATCTAGGCATTTGAACCTGAGCCTGAAACTGTCGCTGATGACGATGTCGACTTCCCAGAGGTGCATTTCTCAGAGTGTATTGTTGTTTGGGGTGTCACCTTATCCATTTTCGTGATTGTGGTTATTGTGGGAGGTTGGTAGAGGTGGCATGTTCAACTGGTAGCCAAGGTAAGAGAGTGTTCAGTGTTCTCATCAGATTCATGGCGTATCCGGTAGCTGGTAATCCTTGTGCTCACCTGGTTTCCCCAAGGGACTGTCGCCGAAATCAAGGACAAGCAAGGTGCAGGATGGTGAGGACTGGATGTTGGCAGTCTATCATGTGCAACTTAAGTCAAGAACACAACATGGCAGAGGAAGTCCAAGTTGAAAGCTGAGCAGCATGCGAAAACAGGTTGTGCTAGTTATTGCGACGGCAAGGTTTCAGGTCAACACTAGGCAGCCTGAGGCGAGATGTATCCTTGAACATTCTATTTTAAAAAAATCTCTCCCAGGCCATTGTTGGTGGCAGACAAGTAAGGTTTGGAAAGGTTTGGGTAGGGACACTCCCTCCACAGCTGTGTGGTAGGGCTACTGAGCTACACCTCTTTTCGATATGCTCAATGTTTGTTAATTTTCATTCTGGGCGGGTGAAGGCGCACTCACCGAGGCCAACACCCCAAAGCGTCAAATTGTTTATCGTCATTTTTAGATAGAGATGTGTAATGTGTAAGTGTGTAATTGACCAAAAGATATATGTGTTTTTTCTTTCTTTTTTTTGCAATTTCGAGGACCTTCTTCAGGGATCAGGGCGAATAGATTGCAAGTAGTGATGAGCTCCTAAAATTGAAATCAGATTCTAGACCGGCTCAGCATCCCAGTGAGTGAATCGAGACGAAGCTCATCAAAGTGTCGTTTGAAACATAAGATGCAAGGCATTTGTGCGCAATTGTGGTGATCATGCTGGATCGCAAGACCCGAACCATGTCACAGGCAGATATGATACCCGATAACGCAAGCGCATGCAGTGACAACAAAGCGGAGGCATGGCCATGCCATTTGCATCCATTTGCAAAAGACCAGATGTTCCTTCCCAACCAGCATAGAGTGTAGAGGTTAAGTCGGTTCAAGCACGGTTGGGCGGCATTTCAAGAAACGACAAATTTAGCCAGGGAAGCGGAGGCAGCATGAGCGATGTTGGCGATTTTGCCGAGATGGTTGACGCAGAGGACACTAGTGAAGTCACTAGTGTTTGCAATTCAAGCCTGAAACTAAGTGGTGAACAGTTCCGTTTTGGGGCTTGCGGTACCTATATAGTTGCACTGCAAATGGTTGAACGGATGGTGTTTTTGAGCACTGCCTGCTATTACCATCTATTACCTGTCTTCGTGCGTGCCTCACTCACCTACAGTTGCTAATTTTGCCGGTGTTTACTCGTGTTCGTGTTCTCAAAATAGACATTTACATAGGGTCATCGTTGAAGCTGAGGTGCGGGCTCCGAAGTCAGTCCAATGTCAGAAGGAACTATCAGCCGAACACCCGTGGCCCATAGATGCAAGGCATATTTGCAAAGGAGTCTGACCGAGGCAGAAGAAAAAATCGGATGAAACAGAAGAAGCTTAAGATGACAGACACGACGCTTGGTCTAATTCTACGTGGAGCTGCAGCCAGTACCATGACTCCGATTTGCAAAATCATTCTTGACATAGGATGGGCTTTGTGCCTTCAGCGGCTCTTCTCGTTGTACCGGACAACAGAGGCCTGGCAGGAGGTTTTTGGCTTTCTCAGTCGGCTTTCAGCGGTCAAGGCAAACTTGACGACAATTATGACGTGGAGCCAGTAGCTCTCGGCAAAGGTGGATTTGCAGTCGGCCCTGCTTGTGATTAATTCTGCGCAGGCAGTGCTTTTCTTTGGATCAAAAATGATCAAATGAATTCCTGTCAGGAAGTGAGGCGTGCCACAGTTAGAGTCACTGGTGCAAAGCGGGCAGTAAAAATTATCTCAAAGTCTGCCCCTTGACAGCATGCAGCATGCACTGTCTAGAGTCTAGTGCAATTTGCTTGATAAAGTCTCAAACGCTCAGGACAAAAACAATCCTGGACTTCTCAAGGCTGAGACTCTTGGACTTCATACATTACACTTTTCTCGCCCAAATACCATCAACCTCGGCATACCTCGTCATGTCCAGACTTGACATAAGTGCCCTTGACCAAGGATAGAGGTCATGAAGATGTAGCCAGGATGCATTTCTGTGGTTGAGGACGGCAAAGGTGAGTTGAACAAGCTGCTTTGTGAGGTGCATAGTAGTCCAAGACCTTTGCTCATGTGCTCAAGCCGAGGTTGGATCATCCCAATGTAGTCACCCTTTTTGAGATCTTTGAAGACTCTGACACTCTTTCACTTGCACAAGCCTTACTGTCGTGAGAGAGTTCATTTGAGAGTACAATTACATGTCAGCATGTTGCACAATCATCGACGTTTCTTGAATATTGAAGCATGGTGCAATGTATTTGGTGCCGTGGCTGTGTCAGCAGAAGATGCGCACAAGTGTTGCGGAAGGTGTACGAAAGGCCTATACGCAATGGCAAACTTGCCAGAAAAGGAAGGGATAGAAGCGAATACTTGCTAAAGAAGAGGAGAAGCCAGGAGAGGCAACTTCCACCAAGCCAAAAGAGGATGATGGTCACACAGCCGGCAGTTGTGTGACTGCAGGATCCTGGTTTAAACAAGAACGCTTTAATCAGTTGCAACCTGCAGCCAATCATGCTTCATTCGTTTCGGGCATGCAACCTTTCACCAACGGAAAAATACAGAATGTCGGCATCGCAGGCAGACGCCAGCACTGGCTTTTTTCCCGAGAGCGTTTGCGAAGGGTTCTTCGTAAAAAAACATCTGCAGAACTACACCTCCTCTACATCTTCACATCTTCACCTCTGTACAATCACGTTCTCACCTCTATCTCTGCTCATCTTCACATCTGCACATCTAGAATCTACATCTCTGCTCATCTTCACATCCTCACATCTACATCTCAGCTCATCTTCATCTTCACACATCTGCATCTGCATCTCTGCTCATCTTCACATCCTCATATCTACATCTCACATCCTCGCCTCTCGCTCTTCTTAACTTTCTCTCTTAAGGCCGGGGGCAGTGCCGCCGGACCGCCACGAAACGCAACCCTCTGCGGAGATCGTGCGTGTCAGACGCGCGAAATGCAGGCCGGAGTGCGATTTGTCTCTGTCCGTCGCAACCCTCTGCGGAGATCGTGCGTGTCGAGTGCGCGAAATGCAGGCGAGAGTGCGATTTGGCTTTGTCGCGGGCAACCCTCTGCGGAGATCGTGCGTGTCGAGTGCGCGAAATGCAGGCGAGAGTGCGATTTGGATTTGTCCGGCGCAACCCTCTGCGGAGATCGTGCGTGTCGAGTGCGCGAAGTGCAGGCGAGAGTGCAATTTGCGTCTGTCCGGCGCAACGCTCTGCGGAGATCGGGCGTGTCGAGTGCGCGAAATGCAGGCAAGAGTGGCGACTTTGCAGTACAACTTTAGTACGCGGAGCAATCTGTGGAGCTGGAAGCTGAGAACTGGCGACTTTGTAGTACCACTGTAGTACGCGGAGCAATCTGTGGAGCTGGAAGCTGAGAAGTGGCGACTTTGTAGTACAACTTGAGCACGCGGAGTCTTTGGGGAGCTGGAAGATGAGAACTGGCGACTTTCTAGTACAACTTTAGTACGCGGAGGGTCGCGGGCAACCCTCTGCGGAGATCGTGCGTGTCGAGTGCGCGAAATGCAGGCGAGAGTGCGACTTGACCCGGTCCGGCGCAACCCTCTGCGGAGATCGTGCGTGTCGAGTGCGCGAAATGCAGGCGAGAGTGCGATTTGCGTCTGTCCGGCGCAACCCTTTGCGGAGATCGTGCGTGTCGAGTGCGCGAAATGCAGGCGAGAGTGGCGACTTTGTAGTACAACTTTAGTACGCGGAGCAATCTGTGGAGCTGGAAGTTGAGAACTGGCGACTTTGTAGTACAACTGTAGTACGCGGAGCAATCTGTGGAGCTGGAAGCTGAGAACTGGCGACTTTGTAGTACAACTTGAGTACGCGGAGTCTCTGGGAGCTGGAAGATGAGAACTGGCGACGTTCTAGTACAACTTTAGTACGCGGAGCAATCTGTGGAGCTGGAAGCTGAGAACTGGCGACTTTGTAGTACAACTTTAGTATATACGCGGAATATCTGGGGAGCTGGAAGATGAGAACTGGCGAAGTTGTAGTACAACTTTAGTACGCGTGGCAGCTGGGGAGCTGGAAGATGAGAACTGGCGACTTCGTAGTACAACTGTAGTACGCGGAGTAGGTGAGGAGCTGGAAGATGTAAGTATCCTACATACTCATGTTTCCGACTGACTTCGATTTCGTCTCTTGAGGTGATTTTATATATGACATCGCAGGGAGTGGTCCGATGCTCAGTTCACGTTGGGTGTGGCTGGACAAACTGTGTCAACGAGATCTTACCACTTTCTTTTGGATAGGTAGAAGTATTCGTGCCTGAGAGTTTCGTGACATCGATCCTGCGTTAAGGCTTGTTTGCTTGATATCCTCGGGCACCATGAGAGTGAATGACTTTCATACCATGCCTCCCCGGGGCTCAAGCACTGGGTAGCCGCGACTCCGTGAACTTCACTGCCATTGTTGTTTTCAACAAGACTTTTACTTCACTTGGTCACGTACAGCTTATCAATGACGTAGTAGGTGTTAGGGGTCTGTCCTAGGTATCGCGCGTTCGCCTGTTCTAGTCATGGCTCTGGCTACTGACGCTCTCGAGTGGAGAACGCAGCGAGAGCAGGATATCAGAGACGCTTATGCTGATAAGAACCGGTGGACTGCTTTGGACTATGTCACAGACCAACACGACTACAGCTTTAGGCCCATAGAAGCGTGGCCTGTGGATGCTGCTGTCGTTTACAATCCTACGGATCGAGCAGCACTGTTGCTTGGAAGTTTGAAAGCCGCGTGTAGCTTGGAAGACATTGTGGAGACCACGTCTTTGAAGGTCACTGTGGTGGTCACCATGCGCGCGCAGGAGATGCAGATCACAGGCGCACCGACCGACTGGGCGAAACACTTTCAAGAACAAGATGTCTTTCACATCCAGTGTCACTTGGAGGACACGACATTGAAGCCGACAAGGCATATTGGCTTGAGCAGATTCCGGACTTGGTGGCTTCCTGTTTGCGACAGTGGAAAATCGTCTGCAACCAGTTATGGAAACAGTCCATGCTGGCGGTCGCCGGGGACAAATCCATGCACGTGCTCTTTCACTGCTTTGGTGGCGTCAATCGGAGCGCGGGGGTTTTGTGCGCTTGGCTCGTTGTCGCGTACGAGCACTCCGCACTGGAAGCCGTGCAGTTGCTACTTCAAAAAAGACCAGCGTTGCGTCCTTGGCGCAATCGACCCTATGTCTTGGAAGCGTTGTGGCGCCTGGAAGGTTTGCGCGCGGAATGGCAGAGAGACTTCAGCGCAGCACGCCGAGACTAGTTTGTGTCGCGGGTCGTCCGTCGAGGCTGTTCGGGACGAAACTGCGACATCGTCGCTTAGACGACGGGATCCGCAACTGCCGGAAAAAGGGACGTGACGTTGATATGTGTCTACTTCACCTGCGCGACAATCGATGCACAGTTGGAACGCAGGAGTCACTTGTCCTGATCGTAATGTCGTTTGCTCTCAGGTCGCACTGTTGGTGCTTTGAAGGGCGTATCCGCGAGAGCGGAGATGATGACTGGAAGCACACTTACTGCGTGCTTTCTCTGTGTCTGATACTTGAAGTCAAATAAACTGATTTGCTTTGAGCCTCTGCTCGCAGGATCTCTACTCGCCGCTTGTTCCCCAGATAGCGAAGCTATGGGGTTCTTACTTCAGATAATAGTGAGTTGCCTTTCGAGACAGGTTGCTGGTGCTGGGTGTCGGCGCTGGTGCTGGTGCTGTGAGCTGGCTGTGCATGTGGTGGAGACAGGTTGGTGGTGGTGGTGCCGGGTGCTGGTGCTGGTGCTGGTGCTGTGAGTTGGCTGCGCACGTGGTGGAGACAGGTTGATGGCGCTGGTGCCGGGCGCCGGTGCTGGTGCTGGGCGCCGGTGCTGGTGCTGCTGGCGCTGGGTGCCGGGCGCCGGTGCTGGCGCTGGTGCTATGAGCTAGCTGTGCACGTGGTGGAGACAGGTTGCTGGTGCTGGTGGTGCCGGGTGCCGGTGCTGCTGGTGCTGCAGCCGGGTGCCGGTGCTGGTGCTGGTGCTGGGTGCCGGCGCTGGTGCTGGTGGTGTAGCTTGCATATATGTGGGGATCCTTTTTGCCCAGATAGCGAAGCTATGGGATTCTTACTTCAGTGTAACAATGAGCTGCCTGCGCGCGCTTTCGAGACAGGTTGCTGGTGCTGGTGGGCGGTGGAAACAGGGTGCCGGTGCTGGGTGCCGGTGCCGGGTGCTGGTGCGGGCTGTGGTGCTGGGTGAGCTGGCTGCGCGCGTGGTGGAGACACGGTGCCGGTGCTGGGCGCTGGCAGTGCGCATGGTAGAGACAGCGGGCGCCGGCGCTGTGAGCTGGCAGTGTGCGTGGTGGTGACTGGGCGCCGGTGCTGTGCTTGGTGCTACACCGGCGCTGGTGCTGGTGCTGGGCGCCGTAAGCTGGCGCGCCGGTGCTCGGCGCTGGTGCCCGCTTCTGACAGTGAAGTGATAACAGCCGCCGCTTCTGACAGTGAAGGGCACCAAACCGCCGCTGCAGCAGTGAAGGGCGACCAAGCGCCGCTTAAGGCTTAAGGACAATGAAGTGCAAGCAGTCACGCCGCATGAACTTACGCGCAAAACATCATACGGTGTTGTCGCTTGAGCGTTCTTTGTCTATTAGCGCTGTGGGGTGTTTACACCGTTCAGGTTCTGTTTTGGCCGACAGCTGTGTCAAGGGCTGTACTGTTTGCGCGCATACTTTTGTACGTATAATGTTCTATGCGTCAGGCTCTCAACCGACCATTGTACCAGCATGTTTCAGCATGCTACACACACACAATAGTCGTGCTGGATACTGCTTGGCCGTGGGCGAGTGAAGCCTACGGGCTTTGCCGGTTGTGCGCATACTTCTGTGCGCATAAACCTATACGTGCAAGATCATACGGCCTTATCGTTCTGCAGGTCGTTGCTTCAAGCATGCTACAAAGTCAATAGTGGCGCTGGATACTGCCTGGCCTTGGGCCAATGACACTTACGGGCTTTGCTGTTTGCGCCCGTACTTTTGTGCACATAAACTTATACGCGCAAGATCATACGTTGTTATTCCCCAAGTAGGGATAGCTATGGGGTTGTTGTTGCAAATAAGAATGAGCTGGCTGCGCGCGCTTTCAAAAGGGTGTCGGTGCTGGCGCTGGTGTTGTGGTCCTGGGTGCTGGTGCTGTGAGCTGGCTGAGCGCGCGTTTAAGACGGGCGGCGGCGCTGGTCGGGCGCTGGTGTCAGCTGATTGCGCGAGGTGTCGTAAGCTGGCTGCGCAGGCTGCGTACATTCTTGTTCCAGCCAGTCGCATGTCAACAGGTCGTGGGATTCTGCCTAGCTATCTGGGTCTATGCTGGTGTAATTTTTGGGACCAGGATGAAGCGCACACAACTCCATTTTGTGTGCGCTTCGACCTGCTGACGGTTGACTTCGTTTTTGTCTTGAAATGAGACTGACTTGTCTTCAGCCGTTTGAAGAGCGACTGACTTCGGACGAACCTAAGATATATCTTTTCTCTCGCCTCTGTCCATTTACGTCTTCGCACGCTCGCATCCATACATCTACCTCTCCACCTCCATACATCTACACATCTATATGACACCTGCACATCCACACTGTCACTCCTTCACGTCCATCCTTTCTTTCTTTCATTATCGATGTTTTTTTTCCACAGTACTGGACAATCACATGTCTCGCTCTCGGGCCACCCGTCGTCTAGTTTGTATTTCACTGTGTGCAGAAGCACTGCAAAAGAGCACCTAGTTGCACCACACCCATTCACAACCGACAACTTCGACCAAAGGAGTTTCCACAGTGGAAGGTATCCAACGGTTTCAGCTGAAGGTTTCAATGTGGTGTCCAGCTTTGGGTGCCCGGTCGGATGGCTTTCAGGTGCTCGAATTGTGCAGTGGAGGAGAGCTTGAAGGATATGTCCGGAACTTGCTGTATATTTCGTGCTGTAGACTTATTCTCCTGCACTAGACTCGGTAGCCAGTTTTGTTTTGAGGTGGAAAAGCACGGAAATCTGAAAGAATCGGAGGCATGCTTTTCCAGTAACAGTTGGCAAATTCGTACTTCAGATTCATCGCAGGCGGCGCTTGCAACCAAACACGTTCTCTCGGCCATCCGATACTTGCATGGCTACTTGGCTGTCTTCAGTCCCTTCACTCTTTGGGAAGTAGAAAGAAAGATAGAGAGGAGAAAAGAGCTACTTGCAAGCTGAGGTAAGGGTATTGTGCACAGGGATATCAAAGCTCCTAATTGCCTTTTGCTACTTCCACATGGCCTTGACGAACGTCAGGCAGTGAAAGTGAGCAACTCGCACAGCAAGATTGAGGATATCAGTGATGTCAAGTGACAGGGTCCAAATCCAAAGGGTCCAAAGCCGGTGCATCACTCTCGTTGTATGTATGGGGGCAAGAGGCTTTGGACTAGCAACATTGATGATCCCATGTGGTTGTTTTTGTTCATTTGCCATGCGCATTGTTTGACGGTTTGTTTCTTATGATGTCACAACGGGGTGAAGAGTACTACGGCGTACACGGTGATTTGTTTTGTAGGCAGGTGTAGTGTGATGTAGTAAAGTGATGTAAAGTGAATGTAGCTTAATGTGGTGAGTCGTGATGTGGTTTTGTGTAGAGTGTAGTGTGGTGGGCTTGGCCATACACAGCAACCCAACGGAAAATTGGTGGCACTAGTGTACGCGTGTGAGCGAATGGTTCCTGCACGAGCAAGACGAGGTCCCACAGCCTCGACAAGGGACAAGAGGTTCAACAGGTTTGTCCCCAGAGGACCACGCGTCGTTTTCGTTGACCAAAACTGCGTGCTTTGTTTGCGCTGAAGACCGTTGAGGAGGGTTTGCTTTGCTTATGAAGAGCAAGGAGAACCTGCCAAGGGAGTTTCATGAGCACTCAACTGCTCTCTCTCTCTCATGTTGCTAGTAAGGCAGGAAGGCAAGAAGGTGCATCTGACTGTTTTTACCAGCGTTTGAAAAGGAGGGATGGATTGGGGTTGACTGAAACTGGCAGCTCAACTCCGGGGGTTGCTACAAGTCATTGGATTGTGTTCTGTTGTTCGGCCTATGGCTTGCGATTGAAGCATCCTCGAGCAAGCTCGTAAGTACATCAGTTTAACGTTGGCGTTGCGATGCCAACTGAACCAGAACATTGTTTGTGTTCTGCAAAGGTCATTAATTAGTGACAGTTCTGCAAGCAACTTTTGACAAGTCTGTGTTGTGGGTTTCAGCCAGGTCACGTTCAGCTTGATTGGTACCAAGGTGATTACGGGTTGTCATGTCCATTCAAGAAGGACATACTTTTGACGCAGAGGCCGCTGATCATAGCATGGCCTCAGTGCCCTTGGAAGCCTTGTTTTGCATTAGGTGCGGGACACCAAGTCACATGGCACCAGAGGCAAGAAATTATTGTGTTGGTCTTTGATGGAGAGCTTAATATCAAGGACCATGTGGCACGTGTTCAATGATGGTCCAAAGCAGGTCTTCGCCAAGCAGTACTCTGCGCACTTATCTGAGCACGACTGATGCGCTGTGTTCTTGTAGAAGAGTTCTCTCAGCAATAAGTTTTGTGAAGTGAAGGTCCTGTGATATTTGGAGCGTCGGCATCATGCTTTACTGGCTTATGAATCTCGGCATGTGGATCAGGGCCACTCAATGATTCCCAACATTAGCTTCAAGACTTTTCCAGGTCTAGGCGCTTGCCATTTGGGCAGGCCAGCCAGGGTGCAGCAGCTTAATTGATCGTTCCGACATTGTACCCATGAAATCCGAAGGCTGGACTGTCAGAGGAGAACTCAAAAGCCCGGCTTCAATTTTCCTCTGCTGCATCTTGGCAGCCAAATGTCGTGTGTCGCCCTACAAACTTTAACTCTTGCGTATTGAAGAACGATTGTTGCACTTTATATTGCTCTTCACTTCAGTTCAGCTGTAGCATGAAGTTTGTCGTCTGTGTCGCTGTGTTTCATGGTTGTGTGCAAGTTGCTGCAAGGCCTGGGTGAATGCTGGTCAGGACAGTTTTTGGATGTTTTTTGGCGTTCCACCAGCCTTCTGCTAAACTTTTCCTATGAGAGCACATTGTGATTGGAAGGACGTCGTGAACATGGTTTCTGCCATGTTGAGAAAGGATCCAAACCAGCGACCAGATTGTGTTAAGGTGGGAGTATATCCATTCGATAAATCTATGATATTGTAAAGACGGACTCAACATGACTGTATACAATTCCGCGCCAGGCACTGACCCATGCCTTCATAGCCAAACACGCACCAAAGCTGCCAGTTGGGGTCATTGCTTGCTGCCTAGTTTCTCTTCATTTATTGGAGCTGAGCTTCTTGACAAAGCCCTTGCAGCCCAGGAGGAGAAACACATTGAGGGCTTGAAGAACTACAGAGGGTTGAACAAGTTCAAGCGAGCATGTCTCAACATGTGCTTTGTTCGCATAGGCAATGTCTTTTGATGTCTTTTGCAAATGGCAGCTGTTTGGTTTTGCGGCATTGCCTTCGGCTACAACTACACAAAAAAAAAGAGAGAGAAATTGCTCAAAGTAAACTGATAAAAAACCGCTCAAGGACTGCTTGCATGCTGGGCGAGGCGGATGTTGGTCCATCGAGGCAACTGTTCCTTGCAACTCGGCAAAGTGAGAGCAGAATCGGAAATGGAAGGAAGGCGACAGCAAGAAACACAAAGACAGAACAAGCTGAAAACCAAAAGGCATGGTTTTCTTTATGTCGAACCTCAATGTGCCAGATACCAATCCGCAAATCAACATACTGAACAAAATTCGTTCTGGAACCGGTGTGCAATGCCGGCCGCATGTGCGGGGCTTTGTGCCTGAGCAAGAATGGAACCCTATAAGGCAGAGCTAAATAGTGGTTGCACTTGCCCGTTCGAAACTTGGGGATAACACAATGAATGCAATTGTGTGTTTCCATGCCATAGAAGTTACTCAAAGACTAGGTTGTAGCATAGGCATAGGTTGAACAGGCTTGTGGTTTGCTTGGACCTGTCCATATCTCTTCTGGCATGGCGGGCAACAACTGATCGGAATGGTTTGGCCTGTCAAAGACGACACTGGGATGACCCCGACCAACATTGTTGGTCGGAGTTTATTGTTGGTTGCGGTTTGAATGCTGTTCCGATCATGTCGTTTTTCTTCAATCAAGCAGGCGGTGCCGGTGCTGAGGCCCTTGACGACGATTGCAACGGCCAAGTTTCAATGTCAGAGCTGGTGAACCTTGCGAAGGACTGGCTTTACTGGTACCCACCATCAGATGTGTTTGCTGAAATGGTTTCTGGTCGCCCTTGAGGCACCCTTTATTCACTCTTGCATAGAGCTTGCGGTTGCAAGTTTTATGTTCACAAAAATTCACTAAAATGTCCCACCCGGGACATTTTGGCTCAAGGTTGGAGGCAACACTGCTGCCTACAGGTCTCTTGAAAAAAAAGCTCACGCCCATAGGTCTTCTCCCCTTGGAGTCCGAGTACGTGATGCTTGAGACCTTCACTGAGGCCCACCCTGAGAAAGCTGTGGACCCTGACATGGACGCTGAGGTGGCTACTGTGGATAGCCCAAATTTTGCGCAGCTCGACGAGGAGGCGTCGGCCTCCATGGCCCTCCGTCATGCAGAGGGTGAGGCGGCTCGTGGCCTTGCCTGCTTTGGGACCCCTGTCTTGGTGGAAGAATTGGACCTGCAGGCCCAGATCAAAGCTTTGTCCCAGCACATGGAGGACTTGAAGGTGAAGCAAGCGGCCCTGGCGGCGGCTGCTGCCCTGGCTGACGCTGCGGCTGATGCCTCAATGCCCCTGGCGACTGTGGCTGAGCCTCCGGTGGAGTGGCCCCCCCACTGGGATGGGACGCCTGGCAGCCGCCTGAGCCAGCTACTCGGCCATGGGATCGGCCGAGATGGCAGTTCGCATGCCCATTCGCTTCACTCCGGTGACAGACCCGCCCAATCACATGAAGTTTGACATGTTCCGGAGTCGTTCCCGGCGATCCCAGGACACCTGGCCAACCTACTGCTCATGTGCACGGAGACGGAGATGCTGCAGCTCTTCGACCAGTTCAGTGCATACCCCGGATTATCGAGCAGTACCTGTTACTTCGGGCCATCTGCATGCAGGAGAAGATTTGGACGATGAAGTACCAGAAGGGGCACGACAAGTCCGCCTCTCCGACAAACAAAACAGGGACCAGCGGGCCAGACCCCTTCCACTCCATGCGCAAGTCTTGCCAAGCCCCTGGCCGGACGCGGCCATCAGGTGCTGGATGTGTCAGCAGAAGAAGTGTGTGGAATACCAGTGACCCACTTCGGTCTTGGAGCTCGAGGGGCAAAATTTGGAACCTCATCTACGAGAATGACCAGCCGATATGGCGACGAGCCTCTCCTGCCTCCCAGCGGAGCCGGGAAGGCCTACAAGCTGGCCAACTCCATCGATGCCAGCCAGTATGCCCAGGCACTTCAGTCCCAGACAGCAAGGTGGCCAATTCACGCTCTGAGGCCTTGCGCCGGGTCAACCTCCTGGTCTTCCGGGATGCTCTGAAGCGCCGATACGGTGAGCCCAATCGCACCGAAGATGCCTTTAAGATGACGATGACCTCCCTCGACAAGGCGCGAGGCCAACAAGAAGCTGCAGGAGGGAGGCGCGGCTTTCATGGAGCGATTTCGCCTCTCTGCTACACCGATCACTGCCTGGCCCGAAGACACGCAGCACAAGCTGGAGAAGGCTTGATGTGCCCGATCGAGCCCATTTGACTAGAACAATAGGTGCCCAACCCGAAGGAGATGGTTGAGGTCTACCTCCCATCGATGCAGGCATTGCACTACGCCTTCCAGTACAGCTTCACGGTACATCTACAGCATGTGGCGCAGCCTCGCCCTGGCGATTGGATCCAAGCAGCGGGGCAAAGATGCGGCGGAAGAATGGAAGCAGGTCCTCCGCGAGATGGGTTCTTTCCTTGCCACCAAGTCTTTCATGACGAACTGCCCGGCGCCAGTGATGGAGATACCATTGGCGCCCCGATCTTTACGGTCTTTATGACAGCAAGAAGGCCCTGAGGTTCAGGGCCATTAGCGCATCACTTCCGGAGGTGTACACCAAGCTGGTGGGACAGCTCCCTCTTTCTTCCGTCGCTGAGGCAGGTGCTGACGAGGCCTACGCCAAGCTGACCATGATCGCCAGTGACAAGTGGCGCAAGAAGAACTATACCCCAACAGCGCCCACCAGGCGGAGCGGATTGATTTTGCCCCGGAGTCCCTCTACAACAAGTGGATCAAGGACCGCATGGAGTTCTACAAGAGGGTGGAACCATGCGCAGCACCGAGGGACGAGAAGCTGGAATTGGTGGGCAAGCTGAACAGCAACAACCTGGGCACCGTCTCGGACGCCCTGTGGGGCATCATTCTGAGCAACGAGGAGATTGCGGGGCATCAAGGCCAGGCGCAGAAGGTGGTCTCCCATGTGACTCGCTTGTGTTTTATCTGTGGATTTCTTTTTCTCCTTGCAGTCTATACTGATTCACCATGAACTTTTCTAGTGCCACTTTCGTGAACCGCGCGCCATATTGCCGAGCATGGGACTCCCTTCCGCCAATCGGACGGGGAACAATCGCGCGCCTTCGTGTGGGCACATTCGATGAATCGGAGGAAAGACGGTGCGACCCAGCGCCCTGCTTTCGCCCACTCATCCGGACAATGCCTCCACTCAACCTTGACCTGTACATGGTTCCAGAAGATTATTTTGATGGCTTTGGTGGCAGCAGCTGCCGCCAAGCTGCCCCAACCAGTGGATGCGCGAGATGCGGAGCGCATCAGATCTCATTTGGGACCTCTTCACCTGACTTCCAATTGTGGCCCCCGCCAGTACCAGCACGACCAAGTGGACATGCAGACATGGCCTCGGACAGGGATGTCCCGGAGTGGACAAGGTCATGAATGTCATGAATTTTCCGCCAGGCATTGCGTTCCGCAATTTGGAGGACCCGGTCCGGGAGGGGGCTTACGACCTGCGATGTTTTTTCATGGAACCAGTCATACCATTCATCCAACGCGGCCTTTGTGATGTGGATGTGGGCAAACTGGGGCTGGCCGGCAATGCACATCATGAGGGTGGCCCTGAACACCATGTGCATACGTTCCAGTTGCCGCGGGGCGCGGGGGTCCGCCCGGGTTTCTTCTTCGTCAGCTCGGTCCGATCCATCCACGGAGACCTTGCGGGTGGTCTTGATGGGACATTCCCCATCCTCTGACAGGGCCCCGACAATGTGTTTGGACTGGATACTCGCGCGCAGCGATGTGGCGGAACTGCCTCTTCAGGTAGACGTCACTCCTCTGGGATTCCAGCTTGGGCTTGAGGCACTGGTAACGCTGGGCATAATTAAGCGTCTTCAAGTCCTGCTCGCATATGGTATCCATTGGGCCCTAGTGATTCCAGGGTGTATCGGCTGGCCACAGCCTAGGCAGTAACCCTCCACTGACCTGCAGCGAATCGGGGCCCTCTTCGGCGCCTAAGCGGGCACCACGTCCTATAGGACCCGGCTGAGACTGGAGTGACTCTGTAGGGTACCGCACTTGACGGCGCCGAGTGGCTTTGAGCGCGACCCTGAGGAGGCCAAGCATCCTGGAGAGCCAGTTCAGGGCCTGCCAGATCTGCTGGAGCTTGTATGGGAATATCTCTTCCGCGAAGCTTGTTGAGTGGGGGTCGAACGTCCGCTTCGCTTGAGGGGACGGCCGCAAAACTCCTTCCGACTACCAGTTGGCAGTGACAACCCCGCCAACATCTTCAGCCTCTTGAACCTCTCCTCCAACACTGCTGCCCTCCTTAATTATGGAGCTGGTCCTGATGCGTGCGCCGTGAAGGATGCAGCCTAGCTCCTAGTCAAATGCCCCGGGAATTTAACACCTGGGCAGATGAGACTCACTCATCCTGACTTTCAAGGTCTTACTCCGCACCGCCGGCTGCCGGCTCCGACGGACTTATATTCCTTTGCTATAGCACCTCGACTTCTGTCGAACACTGGTTTCTCCTAGCTTCCCACCCAAGATCCCGTGACCGGATCCGGTGGGAGTCCTCCTGAGACCTACAAGGGCGTGTTAGGCCTTGGTGGGTGATTGAAACTGCCTGCCACACCTTTGTGAGCAGATGGCTCACTGGTCTCTGACAGACTGAGTCGGGGTCGAGGAGGACCCTTGCACAACCCGAAGCGTTCACGCAAAAGCGAGCTTGCTCTTTTGTGCTCTTAGGATGTTCTTGATTTTTTGGTACATTTTGCTATGTAAAAGGGAATCAGGAAGCACCTTTGATGTTCAAATGAGTCACTCAGTCTTCAAGCCGGCGCAGACTTGAAAGACTGGGCCATCCCAGACTAGAATTGATGATGTTCAGGCGGTTGTTGATACGCGCAGCCACGACATAAATACATAGTTCACCCCCCTACGACCCCCCGAAGACAACAAAAAACTTTCATTTCAAAAGCTTTCCTCTGGACTCTGGATCTCTAGGAAGTAGATTTCTCCAGAAGCGCTCAACTAGATCTCTGGGAATGCTCGTTTCCTTATTGAGATCTCTACAAAAGTGTGCATGTCAAAAGTGTCCCTGTAGATCTCTGGGAATGATCACTTCCATATCAAAAAGCGTTGTATATATATATATACAGTATATAAGCTGTCACTTCATTAGCTTTCCTTTGGATCTCTGGAAAAGTAGAATTCTCCAGATATGTGAAATTGTTCCTTTATAGGTTAACCTATACAGAAGGAAATCCTTTGACGTGAAAAGGTTTGCAGAGGGGCATCAACAAGAATCAAATGGAATTTGAAAGGACCTCAATATGAATAAATAGGGGTATAGGGACCTAAAATGCAGACTTCCCAAAGCGGGGCTAGAGTTTTGCATGGAATGCAGGTTTGTTGGTGGAATAGATTTTTGCAATGAAACGGTTAATAAGGGATTTATACGAAATTCACTGAAGAAATTCAATGAAATCAATAGGAAGCAAGAGGAATCTATGTAAAAGGAGATACAAAGAAATTAAATGAATTCAAAAGGAATCTAAAGGAACTTACATGGCTACATCATGCTACATCTACCAGGAGGAGCAAGCTGCCCGCTTCCGACCGCCGAACCGCGGAAGGCTCCGCGCGCAGAACCTGTATATAGTTAGATTAGATTAGCGTGTTGATATACAAGGACATGACAGTGCAAATGTTGATTTTAAGCATGATCAATTAAACCACGAATGTAGAA